TGAAACCACGAGGTCGGAGGCCTGGGAACACCGCCTGCGGGCCGAAGGGCGCGCGCGATGCCCGAGCAGGCGGCGCCTGCGCCGCTGCCGCCGCCCCACCGCCACCAGGGCTGCTGGGAGCGTCTGCTCGAGGCGGCCTTCTCGGACGCGTGGGCGGAAAACGTCAGACATGTCCGCATCGTAAAACAATCGCGACGGCAGGTTTTGGCCGTTGTCGGCCACCGCGGGCCATCGCCGGGCCCCATGACCGTCAAAAAACGGCTCGGGATGAGAAACTGGCCTCGGGGAAGGGTTCGGGACTTCTGGGTTTGAAAAAATCAGGTCATCGCACCGTGTCCGCGGCCTCGCGGGCCGGGTCCCTGGACCGCGACCCCTTGGATACGGGGCGTTTTGCCGCGAATGCCCCCCCCCCCCCCCGCGCGGAACATCTCCATGCGACCGTGCGTCCACGAGATCGGGCCCCAGAATCCAGACCGCGAGGGCGCGGATAATGGATACGTTCGTCGCTCGTGAGGACGGCCCTTGGGTCGTCTGGAGGGGCGAGACGGAGCTGACGCGCCACCCGTGGTGCTCCCTGTGCGGGAAGTACGCGGACTTTGGCCACCTCGCCAGCGCAGACCACGCCAGGCGCAGGGACCACGCGCGCAGGGACGGGCCGCTGCTGGCGCTGCCTCCGCCGCCGGCGCCGCTGCTGGCGCTACCTCCGCCGCCGCCGCCGCCCCCGCCGCCGCTGCCCCCCGGTCCCCCGCCCGGCGGGCCCGCGGCCGGAGGCGGGGCCGCCGCGGCCGCCGCGGCGCCAGCGCCGGCGCCGCCGCCGCCGCCCACGCTGCCTCCACCGGCGGCGGCTGAGCCTCCAGCGGCGCCTCCGCTGGGGGCGGCCGCAGCTCCGGCGGCGGAGACGCACCGTCGGTGGGGGCGGCACGCTGCCGCTGCCAGGGAGGTGGGCGCAGCCGCCGAGGCGCTCGCCGCCGTGCGCCCGCCGCTGCCCAAGGGCCCGCCCCCGCCCGCGCGGCCCTCGCCCGTGCGGCCGCAGCAGTCCAGCGCGACGCAGGCCGGTGAGCACCTCGAGGCCGCGTCTCCCGCTGGCGTTGCGGAGCTCGATAGCCCCTGGAGCGCGATGGCGCCAGAGGCTGAGGCGGAGGCCTCCAAGTGGACGAGGTCCACCGCGGCGCCGCCGTCCCCGTCGAGCCCGCCGCCGTCGCCGCACGCGGGCGCGGAGGCCCCGCAGCCCGGGGAAACCGCGGGCTCGCCGCACGTAGGCCCCTGGCAGTGGAGAGGCAGCGGCGGCGACTGGGGCCAGTGGCCCCTCGCCGAGGCCGGCGGCCGCGATGGGGACTGGCAGCAGCATCCGCAGCAGCAGTGGCGCGGCCAGGGCCAGGGCGGCCGGCAGTGGAGCGGGAGCGGGCCTCGGGAAGTCCGGTCGGCCGGCCGCGCACCAAGTGGCACTCTTGCCTGGGGCCAGTCCTGCGTGTAGCTGACGCCGCCAGGAACCTCACACTGTGTGGAGCTTGATTTGAAGTGGGGGGGGGGGGGGCAGAACGCGAGAAAGAGCGAGAAAGAGAGAGAGAGAGAGAGCGAGAGAGAGAACCTCACTGTTTGGAGCTTGATTTGAAATTGGGGGGGGCAGAACGCGAGAAAGAGCGAGAGAGAGCGAGAGAGAGAGAGCGAGAGAGAAATAACAGCAACCAACAATTGTATTGGTGTGCTTCGTCCCTCTGCCCTCGTTGTGAATCATCATCTCGTAACGCTCCGCCGGCCCTTCAGTTTGTGGTTGTCTGGAGTGTTTACTTGTTCTTGTTTGGATTCCTTGTGGGATGTCTTGTGGGGATGTTTCCATTTTGGGAGGTCTTGTCAGCTTGCCCTTCCATTTTGGTTTTCCTTGTGGGATGTCTGGGGGGCCGACTTCCTCGTCTGCGTTTTCGCTCCTGGCGGCTCCAGGCCCGCCCGCGCTGCCCCCCCGCGCGCGTCTCCTGCGCCCTGACCCGCGTGCAGCGTTTTCCCTCTGCATCCAGGTCTGCTTGGGCAGGCTTGCTCGTGTTTCTGGCTTGTGGGCCCACGGTGTGCGCACGTGTGCATATCATCACAGGTTGGCCAAGCGTCGGGCGACGAAATCTATACATATCCACTGCTCCCTGACCATGCCCATCTTGAACCCTGCCCCGCGCGCGTCCCGCGTCCTGACCCGCGTGCAGCGTTCCCTCTGCATTCAGGTCTGCTTGGGCAAGCTTGCTCGTACACCTTAGGCGATGCTTAAGAAAACTTCAGTTTTCGGCCAGAGTCTCGATTATTCTTAATGTTTCAATGTAAATCCTAAGATTTTCATAGAAATGTTGGGTTTTTGATTCAAGTTCTGAGGCTATGAATTTCTTAACCCATGATTTCTTAAGCATTTCGCAGGGTGTATTTCTGGTTTGTGGGCCCACGGTGTGCGTACGTGTGCATATCATCACAGGTTGGCCAAGCGCCTGGCAATGAGATGTTTGGTACACCTTAGGCGATGCTTAAGAAAACTTCAGTTTTCGGCCAGAATCTCGATTATTCTTAACGTTTCAATGTGAATCCCAAGATTTTGATAGAGATGTTGGGTTTTTGATTCAAGTTCTGAGGCTATGAATTTCTTAACCCATGATTTCTTAAGCATTTCGCAGGGTGTATTTCTGGTTTGTGGGCCCACGGTGTGCGTACGTGTGCATATCATCACAGGTTGGCCAAGCGCCTGGCAATGAGATGTTTGGTACACCTTAGGCGATGCTTAAGAAAACTTCAGTTTTCGGCCAGAATCTCGATTATTCTTAACGTTTCAATGTGAATCCCAAGATTTTGATAGAGATGTTGGGTTTTTGATTCAAGTTCTGAGGCTATGAATTTCTTAACCCATGATTTCTTAAGCATTTCGCAGGGTGTATTTCTGGTTTGTGGGCCCACGGTGTGCGTACGTGTGCATATCATCACAGGTTGGCCAAGCGCCTGGCAATGAGATGTGTGGTAAACCGGGCCCTCGTTGGCCCCGTGATGAAAAGTCGCCGTGGCCTGCTCAGTGTAACTTCGGCCGGGAGTGGTCTGAGAAGTGGAGGCAGCGGAAGAGGGGCTATGGCGATGTGGCGAGTGCGTGGCTCCCAGGTGCTAGCTTGGCCACCTCACCGCACATCACCTTGGGAAACTCATTCCCGACTTTGGCGAGAGTCCGCGGGCGAGCCGATCAAGGGCTTCCAACCCTTTCCTGGTGGGCTGAGACCGCTCGGTCCGCTTACTGTAATGTGTACTTGAGTCTAGCTGTGCGGTCTTCACCCAGACCTAATCCTTACTGCGGCTTCCACGACGAATACATTGGTTTCTAAATTTACCGTCCCCGATGGCACTGCCCGTTTTTTCGTATTACATTGGGCTTGCGAACATGTAGAACCTTGGTGCGCGCGAGGCGCGCGATGGTTCTGGTATTCAATTCATGGATCTCCAAGGGACCAGAGGACACTCCACTCAGGTATGGTCTTGGGGGCTTCTTGGGGCCCTCTTGGTCCGTCTGGGAGCCATCTTGCCCTGGACAAGTCACGCGACCGACCCCCAGGAGCGCCTGGCCGCGCCCGAGAGCGCCCAGGAGTCCCGGAAATCGAGGTTGTCAAATATTTGCACCATTCAATACGGAGAACTCGAAAGGACCTGATGACACTCCGCTTCGTGCCTCCTGGCACGGTGGATGTGTATGTACAGCACCGTGCGCGTCCTGCACCGCGCAGGATGGCACATCGAGAGTGCTATCGCCTACGGTTTGGTGCCAACGCCAGGTAGCCTGTTTTAGTCTGCATCTCCCAACCGTATTGGTATTCATACTATGTATGCGTCTGCACCCCGTGGGGGACACTGGTGCTGAGTTATCTATCATCACATGCTCGGTGGCGGGCGCTTAGTGGCCGTGCCGCTCGGGAAAAACGATATGTTACAAGATGGTCACACTGTATGTTCGGGCTGGACGCACGCCTCCAAGCAGGACATCGACCACGAGCCTGCCCTTGCGCGTTCCATTCAGAGGCAGCAGCTGGGCGCCGGTCGAACCGCCGGTCGCCTTCCACTGCGTCGGGGATGCCGTGGTCGGCGTCTCGGGGGGAGTGCCCTGGCCTCGGGCAGGGCCTGGCGGCCCCGGCGCGTGGCCCGGTGCCCTGCGTCCGCGGCGCCTCCCCTGCGCTTGCCCCTGCCTCCGAGCGCCGCCAGCGCCGAACCGGCATCTTTCAGGAGGGAAGAAAACACACAGACACCATCAATGGTCGATTCCCCCTAAGATATGGAAAATATATGGGGAGTTGGGGGGAAGACAAAAACGCAGAAAATATGGGAACATATGGGGAATCTTGTTATTTTTATCTATTCATTTGTGTGTCCCAGGGCCCCTTCAATCTTCGCGCGGGAGTTGGCACCCCTGTCTCGGCGGAGGGCGGCGGAGGGCGGCGGAAGGAACGTGAGACCGCCTCCGCCAGCGGAAGGTGGCGGAAAGCCGGCTGAAGGGAAACATGCACCCCACAGAGGTGGCAACACTTCTGGGTCCAGGGTCTCCGGAACCCGCTATCTATTCTCGCGCGCAGACCCAGACCCCCCGACGTCGTGATTTTTGTCACAACGTGGACCCCCAGAGGTCCGGGTCCCTTCCCGGGGACGGGTTTTTCGTCCCGAGTCGTTTTTGGACGGTCCCGAGGCCCGGGAAGGGCCCCTGGAACCCGAAAAGAGCGAAGCACCTCCCGTGGCGATTTTCTTTCGCAACGCGAGGGGGTCTGGGGATGTTGCCATAAGTCGCGCCTGTGCCCCTACAGGGGGATTTTCAACGAAAAATAAAAAATACAGCAAAAATAATCAAAAAATAGTCCAAACATAATATGGGGATTATCTTTTTAGTATTTTGTTTGACCTTTTTGGGGTATTTTGGGGTATTTTTTATTTTTCGTCGAGAATCCCCCAGTAGGGGGACACGCCCGACATAATGTTGCCAGTGGCGCGCCCATGGCGCGACCAAGGTCCAGCTGGTGGGCGGACGGCCCAGACTGGGCGGGCTTCGACTGGGGTGCCGGCCGCTGCGACGCGATTGGCGCGGAGGCCCCTCCCGCCGCGCGCAGCCCCACGGACTACAAGGGGCTGCTGCAGCACAAGCTGCAGTTGCGCCTGGGCCGGCCAGTCCGCAAGGACCCCGGCGGCATCATGTGGTTCCCGAAGGGGCCCCAGGAAGGAAGGAAGGAGAAGGAAGGAAGGAGAAGGAAGGAAGGACAAGGATGGAAGGAAGGAAGGAAGGAAGAGGAAGGAGAAGGAAGGAGAAGGAACGAAGGAAGGAGAAGGAAGGGGACTTCTGAGACGGGCGATGCCGATTTCTCAAGTCCGTTCGGCTTCGCCCGCGAGGTCGTTGCGCGACGCTTTCGCTCGCACTTGTCGAGGTCTCAGATGCAACGCCGCGGCCTCAGAAGCCCCTTTCGCTAACGTCCCTGTAGGAAACGTGTCACAGCCGACCCTCGTGGGAAGATCGCAGCGCCGAGGCGAACTGCAGCTGGGCAGTGGGGCGCAGGAGACACGCGTCGTACTTTTCTTTTCCATCGCCGCCCGCCATTCCGCTCAGAAGCGTCTTTCCCCAAGCACCCTCCCAGGGTCGACTTCGATCCGATCGATCCGATCCGACATCGATGCTGGCCAGGCCGATCCGAGCCGATGCGGCCAAATCGTAGATGGCGCTGTTGTGCATCCTGGTGCAGCCGATCCGAGTCGATCTCGGTTCCGTGCCGATGCGGCCCGATCCGATGTGCGTTTCGCGTCGATCCGATTTGCCGATTCGATGCTGGCTGATCCTGCTGCCTTCTAGCACCAGGCACAGTTGTGGTTCGGAGCCGCGTCCGGCCGCGGCCACGAGGGGGCCGCCCGGCGACCCGAGGGAAACGCGGTGGAGGAGGAGGAGCAGGGAAAGGGAGAAGAAGGAGGAGGAGCATGGAGATCCCAGAGTGACTCGGAAGGCCCCTCGCCCCTGGCCTCTGCCCGGGGCGACGCCGCTAGCGCCGCCAGGGGGGCACGTGAGCAAAGCAATGGAGCCGTGCATCCATGAAGGACGCGTGGGCAGAAATAACGACTCAAAGGTTGCCGCGGCCGCAGCGGGCGCCCCCAGGGGGGAGGGGGTGGAGGAGGCGGCAAAATGCCTCAGATGCTCAGATGATCGAGATTGTAGACGGGTTGCGCCCACTGCTGCCAGGGGGGCACGGGGAGAGGAAAGTCATGACGCTGGGGGTCTGGGATCTGTGCCGTTTTTTCTTCTTCGTGTCTTTCTCTGATGGCGTTCTGCCCATCCCGCCACCGTGCCCGCGCTGTGGGTCAGAATCCTCATGGACGGTTCTCGGGGTCTCCTCGGAGGTCTCTCGGTGGCCTCCTGAGGCAGTCGCGGCGCCCCCCCGCTGGTCGGCCCGTCTCCTCCCGGGGACGCTTCGCGCATCGTTCGTTTTTGTTCGAGGGCAAACGGCTCCGACATCTGGCGGCTTGTGTTCTTCAATCCGGGCCCCCCGAAGTCGCGACCCTCTCACCAGGGCCAGCTTTTCTTCCCCAGCTCCTTTTTGACTCAGGCCCCCCCCCCAAGAAAAAATTATTAAAAAAACGAAAAAACAAACGATTGTCCCCGGGGCCCGGCGAGGGCTCCCAGAGACCGACGCCGGCCAGAACCCTCCCGCCGTGGCTCCTCCGCGACGGGGCGAAGCCTGGCTCTCGGACCCTGCCTCTGGCCTCCCGCGGCCCTTCGAGACGATCCGGGCCCCCCCCCCCCCCCCAGAGCGCCCTCGGCGAGGCGCAGCTGCTGGGAGGCCTCTCGAGGCTGGCAGACCGCCGAGGCCCGACGACGCCCGGAAGCCTCGAAGCCCGAAGCCCGAGCGAGCACGTCTGTGAGCCGGGCAGGGGAGGGGCCAGCGGCGGATGCCCGAGGACGACGTCGCGTACGCGTGCAGCTCCGGCGGCCCGCCGTTCTGGTGCACCTTGACGCTGCCCGGGCTTGGCCTCGCGGGCCTCGCCGAGCCCCAGGCCTGTACCAGCGACGCGTGCGAGAGGAAGGCCCCTCCCCGGGGCAGGGGCAAACGCTTCGGGGAACAGGCGACGACACAAACATAGCAACGCGGAGGTCCGCGCGGATTCCTCGGATCGGCGCTTGGGCCCCCTGGCGGCGCCTCCGGCGCCGTCCCTGGCGCGCTCCGCGCGCCAGGGAGGTGAGTCCAGCGCCGATCCGAGAAATCCGCCCGGACCTCCGAGTTTTTGTTTTGTTTATGTCGTTGCTTGTTCCCTAATGTTTGGGGGTGCAATTACGGTCGGGAACTTCTGGAGAGCGGGTCGCACCGCCGGTTCTATCAGGCGATCGCAAACATGGATTAAGGGGGCGTGGATTAGCGAACCCCACTCTTCCCCTCAGAAGTCGTGGGGGGCAGGGGTAGGGTTCGCATGTGGCCCCCTACCCGAGGCCAGCCCACCGCGCTTCGGCGCGGCACGCGCTCCAGAGAGCGCGGTTCCCGGGTGTCCGCATGCCGAGCCTCCCTCTCCCCGGGGCCTCCCGTGCCCCGCGGAGCGGAGCGGCGCGCCGTCCACGCGCGGGGCTCCCGAGAGTGCTATGCTTCTCTGATCTCCTCGTCGTCTGCCAGGAGGGACAGAAACACACGGACACAAGTCATCGTCGATTCCCAGGGAAATCTGGGAAACTAGGGGCAGTGGGGGGGAGACGAAAACTCCGAAAATGTGGGAGAATATAAGGGATCCTGTTGTCTGTGTCTACTTATTTGTGGTCCCCGGGCCCCTTCATTCTGTCCAGACCCCCAGCGTCATGATTTTTTCATAGCGTCGACCCCCGAGGTGTGGATCCATTCCCCAGGACTGGTTTTTCATCCCGAGTCGTGATTTGACGGCCCCGAGGCGCTGTACGGGATCCAGGGGGCCGAAAATATCGAAGAAACCTCCCGCCGTTTTTGTCACGACTCGAGGGGGTCTGGGTATTTCGGGTGGTTTCGTTGGTTCTCTGAGTGTTTCTGGCCTCGGGGTGCTTTTCACGGCGGCTGCGCCTCATCGCCGAGAGAGCCCTCCAGCGCGACCCGCTCCAGGAGGAAGGTCGGGGGCGGGGGGGGAAGTCTTCGAGTGGGGGATCGACTACAGAGTTGTCTATCCCAGAGTTGATTTTCCCCGCCAAGTGTACGACAAATACGTGTACTGTTTGTAGATCTACGAACGTTCTGTGAATTTTTCATTGCTGTCGAGGGACAAATCAGTTTTGGGGTAAATCAATTCTGTAGTCAATCCCCTGCTCGAGGTCTTGGATCCGAGGTCCTGCGATCCGCTGCGAGCCATACCCCTGCGGGTCCACCCGATGCTGGGGTGTCGGACACGCCCGCTGGGGTTCACTCGGCTGCAGGCATCCTTCAAATTCCGAGCACCAGCCAGCTTTTCAGAAATCTGACCTGCAGGGACAGGGTTCACCTGAGAGGTTACAGGTTTTCGGGCGTTTTCGTTTGATCTCGGCGGTTTTCCAGCCTCGAGGTGCTTTCCAGCGGCTGCGCCTCGCCGGGCACATTCTGGGGATGCCCGAATCGTCCTGAGCGGCTGCCGGGAAGCCGAGTTATGGCCCGAAAGCCAGGGGGGAAACGATCTGGGGACGGTGGGCTCGGGGGAGCCTCCCTGAGGGCTGCGAAAACATTCGAAAACCTTCCCTGCCATGGCGGGAGCTTCGCCTGATCTCGGCCTCCGGGGATGATCTTCGGGGCCGTCCACCCCAAATAATGCCCCCGGGAAGGGGTCGAGACATCCGTGGACCCCGCAGTGAAACATCACGACGACGTCGAAGGTTTTGGGGGGAGGAGGGGGAAGAGGAAGAGTGGGATCAAGGACCCCCGAACAAACTTCTTAACGTAGGTCAGAAGACTGGTGGGTAACATGTAAGCGAACGTAGCGAGCGTCCGCGCCGCCGTTTGTTGTTCAAGCGGTCGGCGCTTTATGTCCCCGGATCGTTTGCGCAGCTGTCGATCAGCTATCGCATCGGAAACAGAGTCCTGCCCTGGAAGATGCCTCCCACATCCATGCTTTACTACCATTACTACATCCCACGATGTCTACCTCACTGTGTGCTTGGTAGCGGAACTGGCCTTACTCGTGTGTGGCCAGTTCTGTCTATCGCACTCCTACCCCGCGGCGCGGCATGATATGCCGCTAATACCACTGCGATGTCAGAACGCGGCTACTGGCTACCAGGCGGAGGCGCCAATAGCGGGAACGCTAATTCATTTACTTGTGACGCCTGCCCGATTATCATTAACAGCGTATACGCCACGATCTTACGCCACTGCACTCCGACTTCCGATACGTTTGGGAACAAGCAACTATATCAACGACCCTTGCGCAGAAGCGTCATCGCTATCCCTAAACCAGCATGGGGATACACCTCCACCGTTTTTTCGCCGACTCACGGCAACAGCTACACGAAAGACGAGTCCCAACACCAGCTACGACCCAACATTGAAGCAATACCTGAAGCTGCGTATGTTTTGTACGATCGGGCTATGCATCGGCTGTGCCTTTGGTTACTTGCATCGCGGCAATCACAACCAAGGAGGTGCTACCACCACCAGGGGCCCTCACAGGGACCCCGCGGAACACGTATCGATGTTCGAGCCCTCTCGAGAAGTTCGTGCATGGTTTACTGTTACCAGCGCCCGCGTGACGTGACGCCACAACAGCAGGCTGCGCGCCTCCAGCGTGGACTCGGTGGGGTAACTCGAACTATCGCGATGCGGATCCCGCCGCAGATCATCAGCTACGGCGTGGCTCTACAATGGGTCCACACGGACCCTGTCACGTGGGTTATGTTGCTCCTTCGCGCCATGGTTGGGAACCTAGAGGATGAGCGCCAGCTCGCTCAGGAATGGCGTTTATCGGCTTCAGCCCCGAGCCTGGCGAGAGAACGGATTCAATCTTCGTTCGGTTCGGGATCGCTTGTCCTGAACTTGATTCTGTTGGTTTTGCCAGTCACATGCTCCGTGACTCACCACATTGCTCTTCAAAGCGTTACGGTTCGGCCCTGGTAGAGCTGTTCAAGTACTTCAACCACTGAATGGCCAAACGCCACGCGCGCAGCAGCAATCTGATGAATTGCTGGACCGCAGGTGCAGCTTCGATCACTTAACCGAGCGCGCACCCGGCAATCTTGGTAATGTACTGCTGGGAAGCGGAGGGCGCGGGCACGCCATTACAGACATGGCCACCGCAGGCGAAGACGCGGCCCCGCCTGTCAGACGTCTGGGCCGATGACCCACGCAGCCCAGAACCGCACTCATCACATTGCGTGCGTTGCAACTTCGGACGCGATTGCCTAAGGCGCCTCGTGATGTACGTGAGATGGGTGATCTGATCATTCAGGTGTCCTTAACTACTGATGCGGGGTCGTCGTGTAAGTCATCTTCTAATAAAGATCCAGGTGCCGACCGGGTGCACACTGCTTGGCCACATTCATAGGATACGCGAACTCATGCACATAGTGCAATGGTATGATGCACGGGATGTGACTGCTGATGGCAAGTGCCAAGGGTATTTGTGATAGTGACTTTATCTAGGATATAGTGTCGGGACATCAGTCGCACCGTCGTATATTTCGTTCCCTTCTGGGGTCATCCAGAGCAGAAGTCGAACAACCACGCGGTAAACTTCTGAGTGAGGTATTTACAGTATTCAGTTCGATGGGCGACCTCCTGTAGTTAGGTCGGCCTTGTCTGCTCGTGCGCCTGTCTGCGCGGGCGCCTTTTGCGAGATCGGAGGCGAGCCTGGATGCGCGCTTCTTGTCTCGCTAAAGAAACAGAAGACTTGAGGACGTCGGTGGAGAAAGGGCCTGATGTTCGGTCTCTGGGCCTTTTGGTTTCCCATGCCAGCCCGCTGCGCGGGGAATGCGCCTGCTTTTGGTTCCCTCCTCTTCTGGCTTCGGTGGTCCCTGGAGCTTCCAGGGACTGCCAGCGCGAAGCCCGTTCAGCCCGTTCAGGCCGAATTGCCTGACGCATAGATCTTTGTGCGCGCCGCCTTGAGCTGCTGCAGGACAGCAGAGTGCAGCGCTGTCCCCCCCTCCTCGGCTTGAAGGGGAAGCGCCCGGGGGGCGCGACGCGCGCCCTTTTTGCCGTCTCAGGTCAAGCTGCGCTCTTCTCTTATACGTGCAATATACAAGGTAGCGGTGTGCCAAGTGACGCTACCATTTTGCTTTCGAGTATATCGTGGGGGTGGCTCCCGTTTCCCCTCTTGGGGCTCCCCGGCCCCTTGTGGGGCCCTAGTGTCAGGCTGGTTGGGCTTTTCTGGGCCTCTTGAGCAGTTGCGGCGCCTTGAGGGCCATCCCGAGGCCCTTTCGAGGTTCTCTTCGGCCGTCTTGGGCCAATGTGGGGGACGTCTCAAGCCATCTCGGGATGACGGGAAGACCGAGGTACGTGTGATGTGCGTTGAGTTGGGGCGAAACCCTCTAGGGAGGGGTCCAGGGGTGGCCGTTCGGGGTGGCGTTTCCCATTTTTTCGAATGACGGAAAGAGCGAGGTACGAGTGATGACGTTCTAGTGTGGGGCGAAGCCCTTAAGGGAGGGGTCCAGGGGAGGTGCGAGGCCAGGATGCAGGGTTGGTAATGGCCGTTTTCGGTGTTTCCTTTGGGTTTTTGCATGTTTTTCTGATTCTCCCCCTTTTTCCGTCCCCGAAGAGCCCAAGACCGCCCAAGACAGCCCCAAGACGTCCACGATGGCCGAACTGGCCTCACGATCGCCCGAGCCACTCCAGGGAGGGGGGCGGGGGGAAACTCCGACCCCGCCCCCCTCCGCACTCTCCTCCGCACGAGACCACGCGGGGGGAAACTCCCGACCCCCCCCCCCGAACCCCACCCCTGCAAGGAAGCGATCAAACGTAGGTCGGGCCTGTCCTCCTATATGATGCTTTTTGGAGACAGATTATCAATAGTCAAAGAATATCCAACAATAGTCAACGATGGTCGAAACATCGTCCCCAGACTATGTTTGAATATTCCTCCTGTGCTGTATTGCGACATATCCATTCTAAGACCAAACGGAAGAGGCCTCTCTTCGACTCGATTGTTGTCTGGGTCGATCTACCTCGGGTTGGCAAGTCTGCAGAGCCCCGGGCTGTCGCCTCCCAGGAGGAGGCGCAACAGGAGGAGGCGCAGGGAGGAGGAAACGCAGCAGGAGGAAACGCAGCAGGAGGGGGGAGGGGAAGGGAGGAGGCGCCGCAGCAGCAGCCGCAGCAACAGCGGCAGCAGGAGGAGGAGGAGGAGGAGGAGGAGGAGGAGGAGGAGAGGAGGAGGAGGAGGAGGAGGAGGAGGAGGAGGAGGAGGAGGAGGAGAGAGGAGGAGGAGGAGGAGGAGGAGGAGGAGGAGGAGGAGGAGGGAGGAGGAGAGGAGGAGGAGGAGGAGGAGGAGGAGGAGGAGGAGGAGGAGGAGGAGGAGGAGGAGGAGGAGGAGGAGGAGGAGGAGGAGGAGGAGGAGGGAGGAGGAGGAGGAGGAGGAGGAGGAGGAGGAGGAGGAGGAGGAGGAGGAGGAGGAGGAGAGGAGGAGGAGGAGGAGGAAGAGGGGATGAAGAGGAGGAGGAGGAGGAGGAGGAGGAGGAGGAGGAGGAGGAGGAGGAGGAGGAGGAGGAGGAGAGGAGGAGGAGGAGGAGGAGGAGGAGGCGGAGGAGGAGGAGGAGGAGGAGGGGAGGAGGAGGAGGAGGAGGAGGAGGAGGAGGAGGAGGAGGAGGATGACAAGGAGGAGGGCGGAGGCGGAGGCGGAGATGGAGGAGGAGGAGGAGGAGGAGGAGGAGGAGGAGGAGGAGGAGGAGGAGGAGGAAGAGGAGGAGGGGGAGGAGGGGGAGGGGGAGGAGGGGCGGGGGGAGAGCTTCGAGTGGCGGGGCGTCTCCCAGGACCGCCCCAGGACGACCGCCCTAGAGCCCCCCTCATCACGCATGCCGACCTGTCCGGTTAACTTCTGCAATCGTCCTTGAGACCTTGGGGCGCGAAAGGGCGACAGCGGAGCGCGCCAGGTGCGATACCGAGAAAGCTCGACAGGAAGCCTCGCCACGGATCCGAAATGTGCCACGGAGAAACAGACTTTGTATGCTCCGCCGTAGCCGCTTTGGCTCAAGCAATTTCGGCTCAATGCCATCCTTTCCTTACATACCAAGTAACCTTTCCCAAATTCTTTACGCTTCGCGTATCCCCACCAGCCCATCTCACAGCAGCAACTCTTGCGAAGCATGCCGACAGTCGTGTTTTTCAGGCGTGTGTCCGCTTGGGCCCGCATATCTCCCCTGTTCCTCCTTCCTCCCGCCTCCTTGTACATCCTCCTTGTGGGGGGAGCGGGAGAAGGACGAGGCGGAGGAGGAGGGAGAGAAAGCGCTCCTCGTGATTTGAGTCGTTTGGGGTTTCTCGTCCTGGTGTGAGTCGTTCGGGCCCTTCTTCCTGGTGTGAGTCGTTCGGGCTCTTCGTGGTGTGAGTCGTTCGGGCTCTTCGTCCTGGTGTGAGTCGTTCGGGCTTCTCGTGGTGTGAGTTGTTCGGGCCCCTCATCCTGGTGTGAGTCGTTCGGGCCCCTCCTCCTGGTGTGACTCGTTCGGGCTCCTCGTGGTGTGAGTCGTTCGGGGCCCGCGTCGTGGTGTGAGTCGTTCGGGCTCCTCGTGGTGTGAGTCGTTCGGGCGCCTCGTCCTGGTGTGAGTCGTTCGGGCCCCTCCTTGTGGTGTGAGTCGTTCGGGCTCTTCGTGGTGTGAGTCGTTCGGGCCCCTCGTCCTGGTGTGAGTCGTTCGGGCTCCTCGTGGGGCCTCTTGGGGACCTCTTGGAGCCTCTTGGGGCCTCTTGGGGGCCTCTTGGGGGCCTCTTGGGGGCCTCTTGGGGGCCTCTTGGGGCCTCTTGGGGCCTCTTGGGGGCCTCTTGGGGGCCTCTTGGGGGCCTCTTGGGGCCTCTTGGGGGCCTCTTGGGGGTCTCTTGGAGGCCTCTTGGGAGCCTCCTGGGGGCCTCTTGCGACCTCCTCAGAAGCGCAAAGTAGAGCTGCCCCCTGAGAAGGACAAAATGAAGCCAAAACCTTTGTAAAATCAATGATTTTGCTATGAGGACGATGAGCGCTGCCCCCTTCAGAAGTCCAAAATGGGGCAAAAACCTCGTAAAATCAATGTTTTTGGCTTCACCGAAGAGGAAGGGCGCCCAACGGTGCCCCCCCCCTCGGGGCCAGAATCCTCGTGAGGGTCGTCGTTTTTTGGCCCTCCCAGGAGTCGAAAAAGGCCCCCCTGGCCGCGCTCGGGACTCCCTCTCCGGGTCCAGGGGGAGGGGGTAGGGGGAGGGGTAAACCCCTCCCCGAAGGGGAAGAAGGGGGGTTGAGGACAGAGAGAGCTCTCTAAACCACTCACGCCCGAAGGGCTGGTGGGATCCCTACCTGCCTTGGATGGCGTCTTCCTCGCAAGCGATGTCTTCTCCTCAGCCAGGCGCCCGTCAGACCCGCGTGGCAGGTACTCCAGTCCGCAACTTGCTGAGGAACCCCTGGGAGCAAGGTCGCGAAGACAAAAGAGCGCGCACGGGTGACGGACCAGACTCGCTCTTCGCTTCTTTGCATGGCGATCGGGACGGAACGGAGGCAGAGACGATTGGCTACCGGCCCATGGGCGGCGACATTGAGGACGAGGAACTGATATTAAGGCCCTTCAGGCAACCGAACTTCGACGACGCCGCTCCAGCAGGAATGCATGAGGAGGACGCGGAGCCAATTACGATTGCTGGAATTGCGGCTTTTGACTTGCTTCAGCAACAACTTGCCCCTATGACATCCATTGTCCGTGAGCTTAATAAGGACTTTGATATGTTGAGCAACAACGTTGACAAACAGGGCATCGACTGGACGGACCGCATTGAGACGGTGGAGGCAAGTGTCAACACGAACGAGATGCGCATCGACAAGCTGGAGAGCATCTACGAAGGCATGCGACGGGCTCCCGACACCGACGCCGTAGAGGTACAAATCAAAGAGTGCATCCAACACACCTTGTCAGACAAGGTGAACCAGCAATTTCCTCACGTCCTTCCGACAAGGGGCAGACAAGAGGCATTACACAGCAGTCATCGGAAACATGGGTGCGCTCAGCACACTCGCAGAGGCGACCACGTGGCTGAAGGACAAGCTGAATACCCTCCAGAGCCCTGCGCCAATTAACGTCTACTCGATGTGTGCGTTCCAGGGGATCGTGTTCGCAGAGTTCCGTGGGACGGACGACAGGGACTTGGCCGTGAACTTGCTTCGTGCGGCCTGTCTCCAACCGGGCGGGGGAAAGGGTCTGTGGGCCAATGCCGACCGTCCAGCACCTGAAAGGGCGGTGCGTAACTTTTACTTCGGCCTCAAGCGGATGATGAAAACCGAATGGCAACCACCATACAGAGTATATGTCACAGTGGGTGGGGAGGAGGCGGTCACAGTAGGTGGGGAGGAGGCGGCCACCGTGCACGTAATGGGGGACGCAGTGGAGTATGAGTGCCATGGGGAGTGGGAAGGTGGGGGGGAGCTGCGTAACAATCTAGGCGCCAGGGACTTAAAGCAGAGGGCGGGCGACCTTGTGTCTCGCGTCGCCTCGGGCATGAAGGGCGCGAAGGGCGTGGTCAAGGGCGGCGCCGAGGGAGAAGGTGCCAGAGGGCGCCCGGGAAAATAGGAAATGTCCCCCAGTATAGTTTCACCGGCACTTGCAGTCGGCACTACTGCCGCCATGAGCACCCATCGATTACGAATTCAACCTGCGTGATCATACCCATGCATGTCAAGAACCCGCTCTGGTTATGGTGTTCCTGGCTTCCGAGGTGGGCCGCCGCGCCCGTGCCAGCGCGACGGTGTCTTCGGTTCGTGGAACGTGGAAGGGTTGACGGAGGCGAAAGTAGAAGAGTCCGAATTACAAACGCAAGCGTTGGACAGTGACATTCTCGCCCTTCAAGAGACACGCGGGCATGAGTCCTTTGATCGAATCACCGACAGAGGGTATTTTTTGGTTCTATCAGGGGACCCCGACGTTCATGAAGTTGCTGGGGTCGGTTTCGTGGTTCCCCCGAGCGCCCGTTGCTTCGCGATCGGCTTCGATGTGGTATCTTCGAGAGTCGCTTTCCTGAAGCTGCGAGTTTGCGGTGGAGAGGTACCTGTCTTCATTGTTGATGCCCCGCACAACGGCAAACCGCCAGACGATAGACAAGAGTTTTACCGCAGGCTTGGTCATGTTTGGTCGAGCGATTGCCGACACCTCCAAGCACGGACATGTCTTGATTATGGGAGATTTCAACGCAAGGATGCACCGGCGATTTGGAGGAGAAGAGCAGTTTCTGGGTGATCACAGATTTGGCGCTGCTCGTGCACAGCGCGACCGACATTGTAGTCGAAGCCTTCTCCTCGAGCTTTGCGAGACAGAGACCTGGGCAGTGGCGAGCACGTTCTTTGACCACCCTCCGGAGCGCCAAATCACGTGTTACAATATTGGGTCGAAGCCAGGCGATCTGGCCGTCCCACATCATTTCGGTCGTGCCGATTTCCTGTCAAGCGATGCGGACCGCATCAACGCCATTGCAGACGTGCAGAGCCGGCGGGGCTACGCGCTCGCGCCGCACCATTTCTCATTGCTCTGCCGCGTTCACCTCGACATCCCGAAGGGCCGCCGGACGCGGGGCCAGAGGCCAGATTTTTTTTGGCAGGTTACGCGCGACAGAGACAGTTCAGCGAGGCGTTCTGTATTCACGTGTCAGCATCTTGCCGAGAGCAGCCGCTTGGCGACCTGAATGCTGCCGTGGCGGGGGCGTTCGCTTCCGCTGCCGCTGAGACCTTGCCCCGCTTGCCGGAGCGGAGACAACGGCCGCGGGTTGGCGACGCATCTCTGGGGTTAATCAGCCGCCGGAGCGAGGCCAGGAGGCAAGCATATGCTGAGTTGGGGAAGCGGCTCCGCGGACGAAGCAGGGCTTCCATGAAGAATGGCAGAGCGGATTGGTTCGACCAACAACTGGAGAATGGAGACTGCCAGCCTGCGCGCAAACTTCGGAAGCCTCGCGGTTCGACCCTGGGGCGCCTCCCGGACGCGCGCGGCAAGACAGTTGACGGCGACGAGCGGGCGCAGACGCTCGCCGAATGCTTCGCTGCCGCGCGGTGGGTCGTGCGACCCGCGACGGCATTGCACGGCGTAGACTGGCTGGGGCCGCTGCTGCCAGCGTCGGGTGGCCCGATGGCGGCCGGGGAAGTCCGCGCGGCGGCGCGCTCGCTGAAACGACGCCGCACTGCTGGCAAGGATAGTGCGCCAGCCGAGTTTTGGAGGGCCATTTGTTTCAAGGGCGCGCCTGCGTGCGAATGGGCAGTGCCGCTGTGCAGCAGGTGCTGGGCGGAGTCTTCGGTCCCAGAGGAGTGGCGCGAATCGGTGGTCGCGGCCATCTGCAGGAAGGGGGGCGCCGCAGATTGCTCCGACGACAAACCCATCTCGCTTCTGCCCGTCGGGCACAAGCTCCGCGCTGGGTTATTGCTTGCGCGCCTGAAGACCGCCGGCGCGGAGGGCCGTGCTGGGGGCGCGCAGTCCGTCTTCTGCTCGGGGCGAGGCGCCGCTGACGCGCTGTTTATCGCCAGGCGCTTGATCGAAGTTGCCTGGGACGCCAGCTCAGGGCGCTTTCTTCTGCTCGCGCTAGACTGGGCCAAGGCTTTCGACAGTGTATCGGAAGACAGGCTTCTGCAAGCTTTGACGCGCTTTGGAGTTCCGGAGAGGTTCTCATCTGCCGTGCGAGGGATCCGCGCGAAGGGGGGTTTTCGCGTCCGGGATGCCGGTGCGACTTCGGATTATTGGCCACATGCGCTCGGCACTCCGCGAGGGTGTCCATTGTCTCTTTTCTTGTTTTCGATTTTGACGAGCGCGCCGATGCATGGTGCGATGCGTAACTTCGAATCTTTTGGGCTACGACAATACAGCGCTCTCCCGATCAGCGAACTTATCTATGTGGGCGACGCACTTATCGTCGGTGCCGACCAAGCATGCGCGCGCCAATTCATGGACTGCGCGCGGGGGGCCGGGGAGCACTATGGCCTATCCTTCAATTGGGGCAAGCTTGAAGTGCTGCCTGTGCGATGTCAGTCAATCGCAGCTGCTACGACCAGACGGCGGAGTCAGACCGCAAAGGGACAGTATGGTGTGCTCGGGTGGACTTCTCTGAACCGGCGACGGGAGCAGCGGCCTTGAGCTGCGCGGGAAGATGGGAAAGGCGCGCAGAAATTGTGAATCACTGTGTAGAGTGTGGAAACACATCAGGTTGCCGTTGAAGAAAAACATTGCAATGTTTCATGCGTTTGTAGTGTCCAAATTAATGGCTTGCACGCCGTATGGTTGAAGGAAGCAGAGCGCAATACATTGGGCGCGTTTCAAGCGAAGTGCTTGCGCAAACTCGCCGGCATTCCGCGCTCGTGCATTTAGCCGAATCACGAATAGTGCAGTTCTGCGAACGTGCAATTACCAACAGTTGAGGGCTCATTTGGCGCTGCGCCAGATGCTTCTAATGGCCAGGGTGGCCCAACTCCCAGAGGGCAGCGCCGTTCGTCGATGTGCGTTCGCGCCGGGCACGTTTGATTTACGCTGGCCTGGTGGTCGCCGCGAGCGCGGCAAACGGAGGAGCTCCTGGAAGCGAAATGTCCTCGAGATCTCCCGCGCGGCAGCTGGTAGTAAAGAGGCCCTGTTCCGATTATGGCGCGGGAGAGCCGGCGCGTGGCAAGCCATCGCCAAACATCTTTTCTCGCAGTTGTGATGTGCTTCCCCTCCCCCTCTCCCTTCGTCGTCGTCGTCGCCCTCCTCCTCCTCCTCCTCCTCCTCCTCCTCCTCGTCCTCCTCCCTCTTCCTTCCAGCGAGGCGGCTTTAGTTTTTCTCGCCGTTGCAGAGGTCGGTGCCGCAGGTTTCACGGTCGAGGGCGCGACGCGTTTCACCAAATTCGATGCCAGCGCGCCTGTGGTGTGCAATTTTTTTTTGTTTCCCCTCTCTGGACCCCCGCTCGCCAGCCTTCCATGGTTGTTGAAGACAGCGGGGTGCGGGGGTTCAGAGGGCTCCAAAGCGGTCAACGAAGGCCCTGGTGCCACTCAGGACCGTCGAAGAGGCTTTGAAGAGTCCAGTGGGCCCTGCGTGGCTCCAAAGGCCAATCAGGCCCCTTGAGAGAGGCTACGATAGCCGCGAAGGGATGCCGTAGACAATCAATAGCGTCAACACCCATCGGGGGGTTTTTCAATGTTGCTTCCGTCTGTTCGCCTTCGCAAGTCAACATGGCTTAGAGGGCCCCGAGACCGCCCAAGACTGCCTCGCGCGGCTTCAGGGGCGGCTCAAGAAGGCTCCCGGAGAGGAGTTCAGCACGGCCCAAGCGAGCCTCAATCCGGCCTTAGACGGCGCCAAGCTACTCCAAGAGAGCCCGCGAGAGGCCCAAGGTGCCCCGAGACGGCCCAAGAGGGCCCAGTCTGGTTCTTCAGTGTGCCACAGGAGCCCAAGAGGCCCCCAAGGGGCCCCAAGAGGCCCAAGAGAGGCCCGAGATGCGCGAATGATGGCCCGAGAGGCCCCAGAGACCCCCCGAAAAGGTGTCAAACAACAGCAATAAGCAGCAACGCCATGAATCATCTAGCAGCGCCATGCAGCCTCGAGCAGCGGCAAGCAAATTCAAACGACAGCAAGCGGCAGCCACGACAGCAAGCGACTCGAGCCGCAGCGCTTTTCGCCGAGCCCGAACCAGGTCTCAAGACTCGGCCTCTCGTGCTTTCAGAAACATCCGCACGACCGAAGAGGGCCCCAAGAGGCATCCAAGAGGGCTCAAGTGGAATCCAGAGGATGGCCCAGGAAGCCTCGGCGAGATTCCTCCTCCTCCTCCTCCTCCTCCATGTCCTCGTTACCTGAACCTATACGTTCTGTCCACTGCGCGAAGCCGAGTGGACGCCATTCTACCCTCTTGATGCCACGAGTCTCAGCGACAGCCCGTTCAAAAACGCCAGTCCTCCGCTCCCCACTCCACGAACCCGGTTTCATTTCCCGACTCCACCAACCCACTCCACGAAGCCATTCCACGTCCTTGCATCACCCCGCTCCACGAACCCCTTCTCATAGGAGGCCGCGGAGGAGCGCCGCCAATTGTCTCAGTTTTTTTGGCGCGCCCTGGACACTAGAACACCACTCGACGACTCTGAACAGCACCGCGCCCCACCAGTACCCGTAATGCGTGTTTTTTTATTTTTTTATACGGGAGAGCCTCGTCTGAGGGCGAGACTTGCCCTCGCGTTTTTTGTGCACTTCCCACCACACGACCCCGCGTTTTCCCCTCCAGGGAGACCGCGCAGGAACGCACAACTCTGTTCGGAATTCCGATGTCCCCCACGTCCTGCATACTTGTTGTTCAGGAGGGGGGCGGGGGAGGGAGGAGGCGGAGGAGTGCAGAGGAGCGGGCGGGAGAGCGGGGAGCAGTGAGGACGAGGAGAAGCCCGCCCGCGGTTCCTGCCCTCCTCGAGCGCGCGCCCGAAGCCTGAGCCCTCGTGTGGGGGGGGCTCTTGTCGCATATAGTTCGCGGGGGATCGTGGCCGTGGAAGCGCGGATCCGCAGTGGCTTTGCGTGCCCCAGGGCTCCCAAGGTTCTGAGGAATCACCTCGCCGGGGAGGCGAGGGGTCTGTTTCGGTCCGATCGGGGGCGACGATAGGGGCGAATAGCCCAGGGGCGGGTATTACACGTATTCGCCCGGGAGCCTCGCCGACGGCATGGACCATCGGCGCCCCTGGATACATGTATTGCTCTCCCCTAGGCTATTTGCCCCCTTCGTCGCCCCCGATCCCAGGGGGTCGCCCGCGCTTAGAAGCTATAGTATCAGTGCTTGGAGGAACTTGTCTTTTCGAGCTTGTAGGATCGAGTGAATGATGTGTTCCGGGAGGGCTCGTTTTCGCAGCTCGGTGGTCCCGACGGGGCGGCCAGCGGATTCGAAAATTGCTGCAGTGCCAGCCGAGCTAGCCACTTGCGGGCGCCTGACTGGAGCAGAAGAAATAATGATTGGGAAGCAAGAAAACGCATGTTTATCGGGGGCAACGATAGGGGGGGGATAGGCATAGGGGGGGATGCATCGACCCCCAATCGCTTATTGATCGCCGATAGGAACCCGATAGCCCCACTCCGCCCAGGAAGGTGCAGATTCACTATCGGGGGCTGATCGCCGATCTATCGACGATGTATCGCCGATTCCAGGTCGATGCATCCCCCCTATGCCTATCCCCCCCTACAGTTGCTCCTCTGCTTAGGCGTGGACCTATGTGTTTTGCGGCCTCTGAGGGTCCTCTCTATGGGCTCTTAGGCCATAGCGAGAGCCTCCCGAAGTGTCCTGGACACCCAAAGCTCCATCGGCAGATTTTGCCCATATCCACCGCTTCGGAATCGCGCCCCAAGGCTGCGGATAACATTGTATATGGATATGGGCCAGATGGTGGGAAGCTATCCATATCCATCGCCCTCTTGGTACCTGGTCAGGATTGTAGAAGTTGTGGATGCTGATATTTCATGGCGATGCAAATTGGTTGTGCAGGGTCATATGGACTGCGCGTGTACACCCAGGCGCGCCCGAACAAACATCTAGGGTGCCTGCCCCGTGCGGACACTGTGGATCAGGTTGCAGCCAGGGCAGGATATGGGGCGCAGTCTCGGCGGTGCGCCTAGAACCGAGGTTAGCTGGCAAGAGTGTCCCTTACTTCGCTTTCTATTGGCAACCGGCTGGGCATAGGTTGGACATCTTATAGTCTTTGGGCTTAAGTGTCATGTCCAGCGGTTGGAGTTTGTGCGGCTTGGAGCTCATCCACGGCCAATTTGGAGTCGATGTGGGCTGGCATCGACATTTAATGCGAGACATTGTGTTTCACTTCGGTGTCCAACCTGCGAAGGCAGAGTTTGTGAGTACTTCGCCTGCGCCCGAAGCCAGAACAAAGTCCAGTGGCCTTTGGCCCATCACGCCACCTGGCTTTGGATGCATATTACTTCCCGCACGATTCCTTTGTCTGCCTCCCCTTGTCCTTGCCTCCCTCCATCTGTCGATGTAGGGGAGGGTCTAGCGCTCCCAATCGTCTTGCTGGCTACTGCCGCAGACCGCGTAGTCAGGAACAGCACTGGTCAGTCTGCGTCGAGCCTGGGGAAGCATAGCAACGAGGCTGTGGCGCGGCGAGGCCGTAACGTTGTGCAGTCGTTTCGTTGACTCTTGGGGGTTGCTTGGACGCTTCTGGGGGCCCCCGAGGACTATGCTAGGTGCCGCCTAACGGCTTCTCGGGGGCCTGGTTGCGGGTCCTGTGGCCGTGCTGGGGCAGAAGGGCGGATTCCCAAATGTTTGGCCTCTCGCGGATCGACAGCCCAGCGAGCCGTCGAGAGAAGGGAAGCGTAGGGGCATCAGTGAAGCAAAGCTGGTGGGCGTGCTCTCAGCCGAACGAGGGATCAGCCAAAGTAGCGCTCCTCCTATATGACTAACTTGGAGTTCCCTGGGAGTTTCTTGGAGGCTTCCCGGAGCCAGCCAGGGGCTCTACTTGGGAATCTCTTGAGCCTTGGGGTTTCTCTGGTGGTTCTCCTGGAGCTCTTGTAGGTTACACTGGAACCCATCGACCAAACAGAGAGCGGTCAATGCACCCCTCTCTGCGCACGGCGACCACTTGCCAGTATTGACCGTCTCGGGCGGCCGTTTTGGGTTCTTCCATGCATTATCGGTCCATCTTTGGGCAACCTTGAGGGGCCTCAGAGGCCCCATCGGAAGCCGAACTGGCGAGAACGCGAAAACCATCAGCTGCTGTTTTCCCTATGCCATAATATTGGATTCTTGTTACTCTAGGGCTCACGTCAAACTGCCGACCCCTTAGGGCCCATGGAAGCAGAGATCATACTTGGTCATCGGTCGTAGAGCACGGTGTTGCCATTCTTCTCCTCTTCCTCTTTCTTCTTCTCCTCCTTCTCTTCCTTCTGCGGGCGCGCCGAACTTGGCGCGGGGACGCAATGCGAGTGAGTTCCCCCGCTCAGGCCATGGGAGGTGCTGCATAAGGGGCACGCTCCGCGTGAGACTTGTGGCAACATGGGCGGGGGGACGCCATGTGTTTGCCCCCAAATGAGGTCACGGGTAGAGCTCCCTACGATTCACGACCCGTGTGGTGTGTGTGTGTGTGTGTGCCGAAATGGGCCGAGGAACGCAGTGCGATTTGCCCCGCTGATGCCATAGTTGGAGCTTTTGAGGGAGCACGATCCGCGGGAGGGGTGTGCCGAACTGGGCTAGGGGTCGCCATGTGGGTTTCCCTACACTGGGGCCATTGGTGGAACCCCCGTTGAGGCACGATTCGCGTGAGAGGTGTGCCAAAATCGGCGGGGGTCGCCATGTGAGTTCCTTCGAAGTCGCCATATGTGGAGCTTTCAATGAGGCGCGATCCACGCGAGGGGTTTACCAAATTAGAGGAAGGAAGGATGTGTTCGGGGAGCATATTTCGCCAAAACATCATCGCTGCCAATCATCAGCAGCATCCGCGGTACGATTCATGTTTCAGGCACGTGCGTCTTGACCTCGCGAATGGGATAGCCACCTGAGGGGCAGCATATTCGTAGTACGATGTCGCACTGGCTGCTGTCGGCTATAGCCGTTAGGCGGCCCAGACAATGAGGCATCGCATGTCGCAGTGGCAACGGAACGGTACCGAGCGGTGCCAGAAAAGCCATACACATGGTTCAGGTGCAGTCTGCCAGGCCAACGAGACATGAGAGGTCGTAGTAGTAGTAGTAGTAGTAGTAGTAGTAGTAGTAGTAGTAGTAGTAGTAGTAGTAGTAGTAGTAGTAGTAGTAGTAGTAGTAGTAGTAGTAGTAGTAGTAGTAGTAGTAGTAGTAGTAGTAGTAGTAGTAGTAGTAGTAGTAGTAGTAGTAGTAGTAGTAGTAGTAGTAGTAGTAGTAGTAGTAGTAGTAGTAGTAGTAGTAGTAGTAGTAGTAGTAGTAGTAGTAGTAGTAGTAGTAGTAGTAGTAGTAGTAGTAGTAGTAGTAGTAGTAGTAGTAGTAGTAGTAGTAGTAGTAGTAGTAGTAGTAGGAGAGAGGAGGAGGAAGGAGGAGGAGGAGGAGGAGGAGGAGGAGGAGGATGTCGAGGAGAAGGTCGAGGAGGTCGAGGAGGAGAAGGAGGATGTCGAAGAGGTCGAGGAGGAGGACGATTCCCTCCTACTCCTCAAAGGTGGAGGCGGAGCAGTCCGCGGCGCAGCGCATGCTGGAGCTCGTGCTCAACAAGCCGCCGCCCTGTTGGCGCGGAGGCGCCGACCCCAGCACTCTCGGCGCCCGGGGCGCGGGCGTCGTCGTCATCGTCGTCGTCGGCGGCGGCGGCGTCATCGTCGGCGTCGGCGGCGTGGTCGTCGTCGTCGTCGTCGTCGCCGCCGCCGTCGTCGTCGTCGTCGTCGTCGTCGTCGTCGTCGTCGTCGTCGTCGTCGTCGTCTTCGTTTTCGTCGGCGTGGTCGCCGTCATCGTCGACGGCGTCGGCATCGTCGCCTCCGCAGGCGTCGACGTTGGCGGAGGGGGAGGGGGGACGGGGCGAGAGGGAAGGACGAGGAGTGAGCATAGAGGGCTGGAGGAGGGATGTGGGAGGAAAGGTGAGGGATGGCGAGGAAAAATGCGGGAGAGGGGGCGGATGCGTTGGACGCGTGAGCCTACGCCGAACCCCTGAGGCCACGGGCCGCTGCACCGCGCAGGCACTCCGCGGCAATTTTTTTAGCGGGCTGGGGCCCGAGTGGCGGAGAGCTTTCTGCAGCGGGGGCCTGGCGAGCAGGCGCCGGCCGAGGCCATCGGAGGAAGGCCCGTCGAGACGGTGGCGGCCCTCCCGGGCGTTTGCCGCTTCTGTTCGGGCTTCCCCCCCGGTGGCGTCTCGTCGACACGGCCGGATCCGCGTCGAGGAGAGCAGGTCATGGGGAGGAGGAGGAGGAGGAGGAGGAGGAGGAGGAGGAGGAGGAGGAGGAGGAGGAGGAGGAGGAGGAGGAGGAGGAGGAGGGGGAGGAGGAGGAGGAGGAGGATGAGGAGGAGGAGGAGGAGGAGGAGGAGGTCCGGGAGGCTCGGAAGGCAGTGGCGTGTACCACGGCAGCGTCATCCCACGCGAGGGCCTGCGGCTCCCGCCCGGCGACCCGCTGCCCTTCGCCTCCGGCTGCGGCGTCGGGCCGGCCGCCACCGAGAGCGTGCCCACGCGGAGAGGGGCGCAGCAAGGGCGCTGCATTCGATGGCATCCCTTCGGAGCTGCCACAAGTCGGCGGCTTCGCCCTACACCTCAGGCGATGCTTAAGAAAACTTAAGTTTTCGTCCATAGTCTCGATTATTCTTAACTTTTCAATGTAACTCCCAAGACTTTGATAGAAGTTCTGGGTGTTGTTCAAGTCCTGAGACCATGAATTTCTTAACCCATGATTTCTTAAGCATTTCGCAGGGTGTATAGCCAGCCAGTTCGGCGACCTCAAGCTCCGCGTCAGTCGCAGTGGCTTTTGGCCGTCGCAGTGGCGGGGCGGCCGGCTGCAAATCGCGTGGAAGAAGCAGGGTGACCCGCAGATTCTGACAATGGACCATCGCCGCGTTCTCCTGCTGGCCGACCACGCGAGGAAGGGGCTCACGAGGATGGTTAAGGACGCGCTGGAGCCGCCATATCTCGAGCGCACCAGCCTGATTGTCAATGCGGTGTCTGGGGCGGTCGAGGCATCGACATGGCGACTCACATAATGACATCCTCTGTCGGCTCCGCCGCGCAACAGATGTGGCCCATGTGCGTCCTGTTCGTAGACCTCACCTGGGCCTTCGACTTCAACACTCGCCTGCATGTCCACAGGTGGGGCCATCTGGCCGCCGACCTACGCTTCCGTCGCTTCCGCAGCCTCGGTGTCGCGCAACGTGCCGCGGAGTGGACCGTCCAGTGCACCTCTGAGCACAGGGCCCCATGTTGGGGCGGGGGGGCGCGGACCCGGTGGCCAGCGCCATGGCCAGGATCCGCGCCCCCCCGGAGGGCCATGGCCCTGTCCCCCCCCCCCAAAAAAAAAGGAAACAACAAAAATCCACGAGGGCGCGTGGCTTGCCATCGGCGGCCTTCCCGCGGCGGTCGCCGGCCAGGCGGGCGGCCGCCGGGGCGGCAGGCCGGGAGCACGGGCGTCCAGCAGCGTGTGCGGGGTGGCGCTCCGCAGGATCGCTCGGGAGCCTGACCGCGAGAAGCCTGGCGCACCCCCGCCGTCGGCGCGCCCGAGGCCAGGCCCGCGTTCGACGCAGCCTTCCTCGACGACGGGGCTCTGGCCATCGCTGCCCGAAGGGCTCAAGACCTCGACGTCGCGATGGACGCCCTCGCTCGCACGGCGTTGGAGGTGTTCGAGTGCCTGCCGCGCCCGGCAAAGTTGAATCCCTTTTACAATCTCGCGGCCCTGACGCCCAGGAGTGCCGGGAGGCCGGGCGCGGCGGTGACGGCCGCCTCCGCCTTGCTGCTCTTTGCCGAAGCCTTTCCATCGATGTGGTGGAGGCGTGCAAACAGCTGGGCACGCACGTATCGCTGCGCGCGGTGCCCCTGGCCAACGTCAAGCCTCGCTGGTCGTCCACCATGAAGGCGCACGTGCCGCTAGCATGGAAGCTGTGCGGCTCCTCGCGAGTGCCGGAGGCGCATGAGCTCTTCGCCCGCTTGTTTTTCGGAATGCGAGTGCTGAGGCAGCTGTGGGAGGACCTAGATATGCTGGGGCCATTTTTGCCCGACGGCTTCCCCGCGTTCCAGGATGGCCCGGAACAGCGGCACGGTCTCATGGTGCAGGAGCAGGCTTGGAAGACGCTCGCGTAACGCATATTTTTTTGCATCTGTGTGCGACACGGCAGCCAGCCCTCAGTCCGAGCGGGTGCGCGCGTACGAGTGCCGCTGCGGATGCGCCCGTTCGTCCTAGGGGGGGGGCCCCCGGGAGCCACCAACAGGCCAAACGCGGCGCCCGCCGGGACATCCACGATTACCTCGCCAACGCTACATGCCTTGCGCGCGGGAAGAACTTCCACGAACGAGCGCGGCTCATTGCGCGCGTCTCAGACAGGCGGCGCCCGCGCTGCCGCGAGTGGATCATTGCCAATGTGCCTTTCCTGCCACCTGCCCGCGCGAAGGCCCTCTGGTCAAAAGGCTGGGAGCTCCGCCGAGCGGCGCAACAACAAGGGCCACGCGCATCATCTCGCCACGCGGCCCGCGCGGCACGTGTGGCCGTGTTGCGCGGCATTTGGTGCCCTGGTTGGCATGGCTGTGCAGCCGCTTAGGTCGCAACCCACTTTTCCTTGAGACTGCGAACCTTTGGTGGATAACACATATATACATAGATGTACATCTCTATAGTTTAATGAATCTGCGAATGCATGTACGTACGTATGTATGTATGTATGGATGGATGCATGGATGGATGGATGGATGGATGGATGTATGCATGCATGCATGCATGCATGCATGGATGGATGGATGTATGTATGTATACCTGCAGGGCGCGACCTGAACGTTGTTCTGCAGTGTGTTTGGAGTGTGTTGTGTTGTTGTTGTTGTTGTTGTTGTTGTTGTTGTTGTTGTTGTTGTTGTTGTTGTTGTTGTTGTTGTTGTTGCTGCTGATGCTGCTGTTGTTGTTGTTGTTGTTGCTGCTGCTGCTGCTGTTGTTGTTGTTGTTGCTGTTGTTGTTGTTGTTGTTGTTGCTGTTGTTGCTGTTGTTGTTGTTGTTGTTGTTGTTGTTGTTGTTGTTTTGGTTGTTCTAAATGTTCTCTGGTTCTGGTTTAAACAAATCTGGAGAATTATGCCCATCTCCGATCGGAGCGATGCGTTCTCTTGTATGTTCTGTT